GGGAAGACGTATAGTATCAATATTACTTCTATTCCAATTCCTCCTAAACAAGACTATCAAAGAGACATCACCCATATTGGCACCAATATTGAAGTACTATAACCCCTTGAACTTAGCCAAAATATGTTTGTATTTGACTTGTTTTTTAACCATGCATTGCTTTGCAATTAGTTCATGCACTTGTCCTTCTGATTCTTGGGTGTACGATATTTGTGGTAATTGAATTGAAACGGATCACATCAGAAAATTATTTCAACCACCAATGAAATGTCAAAACTTTTGGGACCAATTTGTCTTTCTTTACCAGAAAGTTATATATTTCAACCACCATGGACGGCGAAACGAATTTGCCAATGAATTTCGTCACCAAGTAACGAGTAGTGTTGTCGATGTAAGTGTATTGGGGAAAAATTGATTTTACATTGAAGGTGACGTGGCATGACACGAGGACTGGTCAAATGGTCAAAATATGATGATCAGTTAAGAGGCACGAGTGACAACAAATACGGGGAAAGAAAAGCTAAATAGGCACGAGAGGCAATTCGAATAATACAAGTTTCGTACCTATTTAGGTCATTTAAAGCCAAGAGATCAGAAGGCATTGAAGACATGGATATGATGACGAAGGAGTCCAAATCCGAACAAAGCTTGAAGGGCCGAACTATGGCCAACTTGGGAGCAAGATGCTATGAATTACAATGTATAGAATTGTAGAGAAGAAAATTAGATTCCCCTGATGGTGGTAAAAGTATGTCTATTTATAAGGATAAATCTAAGTAACTATTTTCCTTGAATTATGGGTCTATTATGAGCATTTACTCAATTCATCTGTTACTTTTGGAAGACTTGTATCAGCTGTGTAAATGCTGGAATTTCGTAACTGATGAGTTGATTCCGTAATTGATGAGTTAATTCCATAACAGATGAGTTAATTCCGTAACTGATGAGTCAATCTCGTGCCTGTTGAGTTAATCTTGTAATTGATTGCCTTGTTCTGACCGTTACAATCATTTATTGTACGTTACATAATTGATTTGTAACTGATGGTGTAATGATAGTAAATCCCATATAATTCGGGATTAATTGATTCCTTCTTCATTTGTAATTATGAGATATTCTCCCGCGCCTGATCTAGGCTATTTTATGATGATCAGTTCCGAGGCTAACAGACACGGTACGAGTATGTTCGGTCCCGAGGGTGTTTCACATATCATCTTTATATGTCATTCTTCACTTTTCTCCAAACTTTGCTGACACATATCGCCATTTAATAGTCCCACATGGCGAGTCTATTTTTCACTAATACAGTTTTGCTTATGAAAAATCTGCTTATTCGACCCAAAATTTTAGGTAACGAGCGGAGTGATCTAAGACACTGTAAACCCCTTTGGCAATCCTTACACGACTAATAAGAGGAACATGTATTTCTCTAACACATTTTTGAAACTTGTTATCTGATTCTTGAGTTTACACGCGGACTTAATTTTTTTATCTCATTTTTTAGAAGATTGAAGAGTGAACTTATAGTTTGTTTGGCTAAAAAGCAGTTTATTTTGAGAATTGCTTTTTCCAAAAATATTTATCGAAAAAGTACTTTTTAGAGAAAAATAGTTTGTGTTTGATTAATTAATTTGAAAAGGACTTTTGTGCAATAATTTGCGTTTGGTCAAGTTTTTCAAAAAAATGCTTTTAAGTATCAAACTCCTAATAAGGATATGAAGATATTTACTTAATAGTTAATATTATATAAGTAGATAAATAAAAAATATTGGTAAGTAAACTATTTTATTTACCAATAACAAATATGTACGAGTATAAAACAACAATAACAGGCTTTGGATAGGCCCCAAACAAGAAGATCACTACTACGGCAACCTCCCTACATCCCGCTAGTACACTTAAGGGTAGAGATTAAGAGAAACTAACTTCCTTCCTAGCTTTGGCATGTTAATTACCTCCTGAATAATCTGCTTAATGATCTAGCTATGTTTCCCTTTAAATATTCTAATGCGTCTTTCTTTCCATACATGATAGATGCACCCAGCAAGCACCATTCTATAAAGTTCCGCCTCTGCATTCTTTCTTTTCTTATTATTTTTTGCCTATAGCAGTTCCTCGTGTCAGTTCAACACTTGTATGTATATACCTTGTCATTGCAGGAGTTTGCTCCATATCTATTTATTATTAATAATAAATAATTAAAATATTTATTATTAAAGACAATAATTAATTTTATTTTATTTTATTTAAGCAAAAAGTAAAAATAAAATAGATTTAACTATATCAAAAGTTCATTCAAAAAATATGAAAGTTCATCTCAAAAGTCATTATATATTATGTAATAGCTTAAACTGAGTAAGGTTATTTTAATATATATATATATATATACAATATTTCCTTAGGGTATTTATAGTAGAAAAAAATTCACAATTGCTTATGCTTCTAGGGAGAAACTATTTTTTTTGTGCCTCTAAAAAATTATTTCTGCTTTTATCCAAAAGCAACTTCTCCCCCAAAAAGCTTGGCCAAACATCTCAAATTCTTAAAAATGCACTTTTTATAGAAAAATCAGTAAAGCTTGGCCAAACAGGGTACTAATGTTGCTAGACATCAGGCTTAACAGGCTAAACAGTGAGCCTAGAGTTAGAGAGGTTAGAGTAAGCTCAAGGTACAACGAAGTGAGCCTAAAGTAAACTTACTAAGATATGAACAACTCCCTTTTGTATTCAATGTACACCTTAGGTGAGAGTCCGGAACCTAAATGTGTTTCCTTTGGACTCAAAATATTTTTTAAAGTGTAAAAAAAAGTTACATTTTTATGTAAAATGCAGTTATGAACCGCGTTTTACCTTAACGGCTATTATGAACGGCCGTATGAACCTAAATGTGTTTTACGTAAAACGCTCTAACAGACCGCGTTTTATATAAAGTTGATAAGACTGCTATATAAAACGCGGTCCATTACCGCTCTTTATATAAAACGCGGTAATGAACTGCGTTTTACATATTTTGTGGGCCCACCAATAATTTTTTTGCGCTTAACTGATATAACAATAATTCAAATATGTAAAACGCCCTTTTAAACCGCGTTTTACTTCCAAAAATTTGACCCCCCCGGATTGGGCATTGCCTTTATATAAAACGTTGTAATGGACCGCGTTTTATATACTTGTCTTTTCAGCTGCCACTAAATCGCGGTTTGTTACCACGTTCTATGTAAAATGCAGTTATGAACCGCGTTTTACCTTAACGATCCAGACGGCCATTAAGATAAAACGCAATTCATAACCGCGTTTTATATAGAAATGTCACATTTTTTTACACATAAAAACGTGTTTTGAGTCCAAAAGAAATGTCCCTTAGGTGAACCAATACGTCAATTCCTAATTTCCTATACGAACTAATTTTTTATATGACTTTTGTCATATTTTATATCGTTTGTGGCTCGATGTGTTGGAATTGAGAGAGAAAAAGAAGCCTACTTGCTATTTTTTCTAGCTATAAGACGCATACTTTAAAAGCATATGGTGCTACTTGTGACATGCATTACCTCACAGTCAGATTCTGATCATAGAAATTTTGTTGCATGCCTATATGATTTCCTCGAGGCCTTAGCTTCTTGCAACGTAAGAAAAAAATAGCCATTGAAATTGTTAGAAAGAAAGTAGGTCATGAAAAATGAGATGCTATAAATGTAAAGAGAGCCCTTTATAGGGGATATGGTAAACTTAATAAATAATGCTTCAGTATCAGTACTAATGCCTTTTTTCATCAAAGCAGTGCACATGGAAGCCCTTAATTTCTCAGCCTGCAACTAATTCCCTAGCACAAGTTGCAGACGTGGATTTCTAACTGATCATGTGATTTGTAATTCTCCAAATGATGCCACGTGGATTTTTATCAATGCCGACATATATTCAGAATTGATGCTTCTGCTGTTAGCTCAAAATACACTATTGAATTTTTTTTCTTTTTTCTTTTTAGTTTCCCCCCTCAAGTTGTTGCATGTTTGGGTCCAATTCCAGAAATTTAACATGTGCCCTGTTCCTCTCTGATATCAGAATCAAGAGGGGGGAAGGGTGAGGGATGAATTTATTGATTAATAAAGGGTAGCAAGACTTGGAAGAATGAGAGCCAAATGATATGATCAACTGGTCTTTCATTTAAAAAAATTATCTTTGATAGTGGAGAAAAACTATCAAGTTAGAAAAAGATAAATTACACGTAGTGATTTATAAAAAAAATGAGAATAGCAATCTGAAAAAACAAAGTATATTATTTTATACAATGGGTTAAAGTACATTGATATAAATGTGAAAATTGTCACATTATCAACTACATTAGTTGAATCCTAACAAAATTAAGTTTGATACTTGGAATTATATATTGTGATATTATTGGTTGAATTATCCCAAAATGAAATGATAGCAAGCTTGAATATTAATTGTGCAAAGCAAGAAAGTTAAAAAGAAAGTGGAAAAAAAAGATTTGCCCCCTCCTACCTACAACAACAACAACAACAACGACCCAGTATAATCCCACTTAGTGAGGTCTGGGGAGGGTAGTGTGTACGCAGACCTTACCCCTACCCTAGGGTAGAGAGACTGTTTCCAAATAGACCCTCGGCATCCTTCCCTCCAAGAACTTCCCACCTTGCTCTTGGGGAGACTCGAACTCACAACCTCTCAGTTGGAAGTGGGGGTTGCCCCCTCCTACCTATCCCCTATTAAAACCCCAAATGAACACTCCTATTGCCCTTTCAACCTACAGTAATATGGCAAGATATGGAAAGAAGAGACATATTCCTAAATAGGTAAAAGTATTTCTCTGATTGAATTGTGAGCCGCGTGTTTTTGTTCTATCAATAAACATTCAATCCTTTAGTACATGCCATTTATATTCCTTGTAATAATTTTGCTTTTGATATTTCCAATTAAGTCCTTCTTTTCCCTATAAAAATATCCCCCTCTCCAATCTTTCTGGACTGCAAAACAAGCAGATATACTTAGCTAGCTAGCCAACCAACTTCCACTTCTCAAACTCCTTAGTTTTCTTCATTTTCTTTTCTTTGTAGTAATTGCTACCTTGGTGCTTACTCTGGTATGTGACCAGCCTCTTGTTTTTGTTTCCTAAACTTACAAACTTTGATCATAAAACTCTTTGTTAAGAAATTTTTAGACCCTTGTGGTGACGATTTGGATCATGGAATTCTTTATTAGGGAATTCTTAAAACCAGCTTTATGTGGTCCTAATTATGTCCGAAATACTTTTTGGTTATCATCACATTTTCTTTTATCTTATGCTCTCTTTTCTGCATTGCCATGCAAGTAGCTAGCTAGTTATCTCTTCTTTCTTTTTTTTTTTTTTTTTTTTTCAA